GTGGGGGCGATATGCTGACTCTGTAAACCGCTTAGAGAGGGCTGAAAGCCCTATGAAGCGGTATATAAGTCTAACTGCTATTGCTATTGCTAAGATGTGGACAGACCCATCAGGCTTGACTGGGGTCACTATAGGGGTCTCCCAGTGTGCGTGATCAACCGGCTCCAGAATTCCCTGGCCAATTAGTTTGTCCAATTCAAGGTCAACTTTTGGACAGAGGGCGAAAGGGATCTTCCAAGGCTTTAATCTAATGGGGGCAACATTGGGGTCCAAATTAAATGAAATTGGGTTCCCCACATACTTAGACTGGTGCTGAAGACCTCCTCGAACTCTCTTTGATGCTGTTGTCTTTAATGGCATTGATGCCGGTCACCCCCAAGTCCAGGGATTTGAATCAGTCTAAGCCTAGGAGGCTCTGCAGGTCTCTGCCGACCATGGTAACAGGAAGCAAGCTGTCAAATATTTTAAATTGCACCCGGAAGGTGCCTTGACCCAAAATGGGAATTTGGTTCCCCTGGTAGTTGCTTAGGCGTATGTCTGGAACCCTCAGCTTGTGCTTCCATAGATTAGGGATGGCCTTTTTCAGTGTGGCCCAGGACATGATGGTCAGCGATGAGCTGGTGTCTATCTCCATGCTGCATGGAAATCCTTCAAGAAGGATGGAGATCCGCAACTTCTTGTTCTGCAGGGTGCTTGCTTGCCCAATGGGTGTTTGGAATGTGTCTTTGGCATCTGTGTTCTCTGCCCTCTGCTGTGGCTTCCATTGCTCTCGCCGGGGTGGACATGGCCTTGCAGTCTGCAGAGCCTGGGTTTTCTGATGAATGCCAACTGCTAGCAGTTCGATAGTTCGAGTTGCACTGGCTCAAGATTGACTCAGCCTTCCATCCTTCAATGGTCAGTAAAATGAGGACCCAGGTTGTTGGGGGCAATATGCTAACTCTGTAAACTGCTTGGGGAGGGTGGTAAAGCATTGTGAAGTAGACATATATATAAGTCTAAATGCTATTTCTATTGATATTATTTATTTATGTGAAAATTTTAACCCTGCTAGATAGCATCAAAATCAGCAGAAATGTTTAAATAAAGACAGAAAGAATGGTGGCTTTAGAGTATGCACCTTTGATACAATTTTTTAAAAAATGGGCAGAAAAAGTGCATGCCTATTCTAAAGATATGAAGGAAGTTCTATTGATTCATTTTTAAGTGCTGTGGGGATGAGAAATGGATCAATAACAGAAGAAGAGTACCTCAAAAACAAATAAGATGATCCCTGCCTTTAGAGTTACAATCAGAATACTGTCACCAAAGCAGAAATCAAAGAATGGAAAAAGAAAAACAACTCAAAACCAGTTTCTGGAAATTATAAGAATTATAAGCTACATGGGTGTACACAACATACAGAATCTCTATCAGAATTAAGTATCCACAATTTTTCCCTAGCCTAAATTGCATTTTCTCTGAATAATTTGTATGGGGTAGGGATGGGGTAGAAAAGAAAAGTGAATCAGTTCCCTGATTATTATAATTCCTACGATCTTTCTTTCTGACATTCTTCTGTTTCTCCCTGTCTTTCTTGCCTTTAGAGGTTGCCACTCATCGCCATATATTTATATTTGTAAATTTTTATTTGAAGTGTGACATGACATCCTAGCAGAATGTGGAAGAACTACAGTACATTTTATAAGGTACTCGCATATTCAATGCAGTGGTGTCACATAACTTTGCACTCTGTTTCAGATGAAGTTCTGTGTGATTATTCTTCCTTTTCCCTCTCTCCAATTTTCACACTGTAATTTGGGCCATCATATATTTTAAAATATTTGATGTAACTGTAACTAATGAAAGAAGGACAAAAATGCCATCAGGTCAATGGAAATCACACACGCTCTAGATTCAGTCTGGACCCAACAAGCTTCACAACAGTTACTTGAATCAAGTGTTTTTATAGCTCTGCCCTGGATCATCTGACACCTGATAACACCTTCATATTTTAGGCCAGGGATGGGTTGCTGCCAGTTCGGCTCGGTTTGGTCAAACCAGTAGTGGAATTCAGGCATGGGTAACAGAAACGGCAGCAATCCAGGCCTGCCACGCTCCTGAACTGGCTCCCACACTGCCATTTGGGCGCCACCATTTTGGATTTTAGTGACTGCACGTGCACAGTTCACTGTAAATTGTTCTGTGTATATGTGCAGAACAATTTACATTGAATAGCACGCATATGTTGTGCACGCATTGAGAACTGGCAGTAACGCCAGCAGCAACCCACCCCTATCTTAGGCCCAAACCAACCCTTGGTCTTACCTCAGCCTAAGTGTATTAAGGGGAAAAAAAAGTAGGCTACATAAAAAAAATTCTAGTGTGTTTTACTATTGGTGAGTTTTGGATGTATAGTAACCTGGCAGTTACAATACAGTGGGTTCTATTTGAATTCTAGGAAAAAAGACTTCTTAACAATAAGAGCATTTTGACAGTTCAACCAATTTTCAAAGAACTGGTGAACAAATCTTCCCTGATGTGAATAGAGGCCAGACATTCCTCTGTTCTGGATGCTTTAATTTTGTCAGAGCTGCAATTTGATTCAGTGAGCTACATGGCCCCTTCAAGCTCTATAATTCTATGTAACCAAACCATACTGTTTCATCTCTGCACAGATGCTATAAATAGCTGCTTCCCTGAGGAATGAAAGATGCAGTGCAGTGATGCTGTAAGAGAAGTATTTAAATCTACCCTTAAGATGTGTCATGCTTGCTAGCCACTGAAGAGATTGCTAATCTGTAGAAAGAAAATCAGTGAGGGTTTTTAGCTCATCATTTGGATGAAGGGCTAATTAAATAACCTTTTAGCTAAAAGGAATTGCTCAGTTTCCATGGTTCATAAATTACCAATGTGAAAGAAAAGGATTATTGGTCACAATAGATGTTGGCCTCCTCTTTCTACATTTAGTAAAGAAATATGCAAGCTGCATTTTCAATTTATGTGAAATCACTTCAGTTTCCAGAATATTTCTGATTGCAACTGTATTAGGATCGGATGTTTGGCTAAAGGTTTTTTCTCCTGGAAGCCTTGATAGTTATAAATTGAGTGTGAATCCTTAGGGATATTTTAAAGTCTTTAATTCTTAATTATCATATTTTTAAAATAATAAGAGCAAGCAGTTTAACAGAAAGGGTACATCAAGGGAAGACTTTGGAGCAGAAACTCAGATTCCATGTTAGTAGAATAAGCAGCTGGCTTTTAACATTTTGAATAATTAGAGCAATATTCATAGACATTATATGTCCTTTAGAAGAACACATCTAAAATCTGCATTATATTTGCCAAATTAGAACTGTGTCTATCATGTAAATATGTTTATATTATATTTATCCTTTATCTCATTTAGAGTTTCATGATTTCTGTAGGTTACTGACGTAGGATATCTGCTACACGCTGCATAAATGAGCAACCATTTTTTTTTTGTCACAGGCTCACAGCCATATTCCTTCAAAAGTGGAATAACTGGTGATAAATCAAGCAGGGAGTTTATTAAAAAAATTACCTTTTCCCCCTCCTGTTTGCTTTCTGACAACTTCTGCCTTTTTCAAGCATAAGACTTGGGATGGAACAAATTGTTCTTGCTATACTCTAAACTGATTACTTGTACACAAATTTTATGCAAAGCTTTTCAACTTAAACCAAATGATGCTTGAAAATAGACCAAAAGCCACATGTCTCTCTGGGTTGCAAGATATTAGCTGTGTTTTGCGTGTAAGTGGACATTTACATAAGAATTAGCCTCAAAGAGTCTTATATCCAGTGAAGTATGTAGATTTTTCATGTTACTCCTAGTTTTTAACGTTCTTTTCTATTTCTTTTAATATAAGTTGTTATCAACTCCTAGTGACCACATGAATAGATTTTTTTAAAAAATATATATAAATAATTAAAACAATCATTCAGAAAAGTAAAGCCGGGCAACCTAATTTAGAGCCCAGTGCTGCTAGACAATGCTTTTCTGATTGTTCACTGCAACAGCAGGAGAGAGGTGGATGAAATTACCAATGGAAATTCTTGAATGTAAATTGATGCCTTGCTTTGAATCCACATGGACACTGTTAGCAGATTTTTCTTCAAGTACAGTTTCTATCAACTTTTCCTGTGGTGCTTTGAGTAAATTTTCACTAACTGTCAATTTCATATCTTTTAATGGATGATCAAAGAAGTGACAGATCTATTAACCCAGAAGATGAATTAAGCGTAAGTAAGCAAACAGAGTGTGCATTGTAACATTAAGAATGGGTTATATTTTTTTGTCATGTTCTAACTTGCAGAAGACCTTTATTGGATGGAATAGCCATTGTAAATGCAGTGAATGTACTGTCTTTAACTGTAAACAATATTTCATGTCTTTATGTTCCCAGAATGATGGGACACAATATTATGAGATAACTGTTTAGAAAATCAGAAATGTATTGAGAAATTGAATATATATTCAAGTCTCCCTTTATTTATTTATCAGCATAAATATAACATATATATATATATATATATATATATATATATATATATATATATA